CACAGGACTTTCCTTCTGCTTTGTCTGTGTGGGTCCTTTGAAGCAGGGTATGCTCCAGCAGCATCTTTGCTTCAGAAGAAGAGCCCAGGGGTCCAAAGCAACCCAAACACAGGTCATCCCTTGCAGCCCCAGCTGCAAAGCTGGGCTCAAGCATCATCACAGCTGGAACAGGATCTGGATGGAGTGGAATAAGCTCCATTTCTCCTGCTCCCCCAGGGCGAGTGGTCATGAGCCCAGCAGTGTGACACAGACCGGCTCGCTGGGGTGGGAAGTGTGCGGGCACGGCTGGTCTGTAGGGGTGGCTGGAAGAGAATCTCAGCCTGTGATCTCTGTGTCTGAGCCAGGCATTAAGTTTAATTCCTGTTTCTTCATGGCTTCCATACTAACGTATCTGTCACTGCTGTTCCTGGTGGTGATTTAATTACCAGGAATCCATGAATTCATAGGAAATAATGAACCCTGGGAACAAGCTGTGCTGGAATCAGTCTCTAGCTCATGCTGGGGTTGTGTCCCATGGCAAGACCCCATACTCAAATGGCTGTGTCTAATCAAAGGACGCTTTATTATCTTGCTGTAAGTATGATTTATACTGAATAGTCTTTCCCCTCGTATCCTTATCCTGGAAAACCTCATCTGATCAATCTTAAAATAAAATTTGGCGAACATAGCTTGCAACCAGTGCTCAGCAGGAGGGGAGCAAAGCGGTGCTGGTGCAGAGCGTGGGCACAGCTCCAGCGAGCCTAACATTGAGTGTTGCTGGCGTGTGGCAGAGAAAGCCGATTTCTAGCAGATCCTTCTGGCTGGTTTTTGCTTTGAAAGAGTATTTCTTAACACTTGACAGAGCAGTTAATATCAGGAGTGGCTTTGAAACTTGGAAATAATCTTGTTTCTGAGCAGTGAAATCCTTAAAGGTCAGCTTTTGTGGTGTGAGCTCTGCTGCCAACAGCTTAAACCAGTGTAATTCAAAGGAGTTGCATGATTAATCTCAGAAATGGATCTTTCTTCTCAATTGCCTTTTGTTTAGCAACTGGTTTGTGTCTGGTTTGGAAGCTCTCTTTGGATTTAGCAGTGAGCTTTGGAGCAAATGTAAGGGAGAGGAAGAAAAAGCTGGCCTGGGGTACTCTGCCTGAGGAGTGGTGGGGCTGGAGCCACCAAATTGCTCTTTCTCTTGTCTTTTCTATTTAAAACCCAAAGTAATCTCATCCTGGTCTTCTGCAGCTGATGTGGCATGGTAAGTGGTGTGAAACAAGGATGAGATGACTGCAGGAACTCGACGTGACCTGTGTAAGGAAATGACACCTTACCACACTGAAATGCAGGTGGTGCGTGGAAGGTGGTGTGTGTCTGAGCACCCGTCCCCCTGTCTGTCCGTGGAAGGCAGCTGCTCCTGCCTCTTGCCCAGGGGAATTGATGGAAATCGTCCTCCAGCTCGGGAGGAGCCAGGCAAGCCCCTGTGGGGAGATGGGCTGGGAGCGCTGCCACCTCCTCCGCCCCATCTTGCAACCTTGCTTCACCAAAGGTCTCACCTGAACGTGAAATCTTTCCCCACCGACCAAAGGAGGAGTTGTATCCAGAGCCTTTCTTGTAACCTGGCTGAGATTGAGGCACTTGGGTGGCTGGGGAGTGCAGCTCCAGAAATGGCACACTCGAGAAACACAGCGTGGTGTGTGCCTGCCTCCTGTGCCCTGGTCTTCCTCTTGTACACCCTGATCCCCTTCCTGATCTCCCCTCCTGATCCAAGGAGGCAGCAGAGCCTCCTTGAGGTGACCTTGAAATCCTCCTGGGAGCAGATGCTGGCAGGAGGCAGCTCCCTGCACTGCAGAGGGTGGTGCTCTCGTTGGTGCAGCTTGGCAGGAAGATGACTTGATGGTAGGAGGTGGAGATGCCGTGGCAGGCAGGAGGAGAGGAGATCTCAAACCGTGCAGCTCAACTGCTCCCCAGTGTCTGATGCCCCCTTTTCCCTCCCTGCTCACCCCTCCTCTCGCTAGACCTTCTGCAGGGACTTCTTTTCCCGCCTAGTGCATAGTCATCCTCATCCCAACCTTCTTCCTCTGTTGGTTTTTGACTGTATTTGAAATACTGTGATTTTTGACTTGTGCTTTCCATGACTAGTTTTCACAGTTCCAGGTTTTTGTACTAACTTTGACTGCGTCTCTCTATCTTCTCCCTTTCTGCACCCCCCTCCCTGCCCACCCCAGACCTCGCAGTGTTCAAGGAGCGGCTGAGAGTGTTAACAGTAGGAGGTATGCAATTAATGAGCCTTTAACCCTCTGGAGTGCAGGACTCTCTTTGAATAGGTTATTCTGGGCATGAACCAAGCTGGTGACCAGACCCCTCCCATCTCGCACCTCTCTTGAGTTTTGGAATGTGTTGATTTTTCACTTGTCCCGCTACAAGTCGTGATGTAGGTGCTTGGTTAGTGATGCTTCACTTGTAGAGATCCCTGATAGAGCCCCTCGCTGGCCTTTCCCATCTGTGTTTGCATGCCTGGCTTGCTAGAGCACACATTTTGGTGCGTCCCAAGCCTTCCCCCCATCTGATGGTGTTGCTGCCTATAAATACTGAGCGCTGGCAGGAAAGCTGGCAGGTTGCAGTAGAGCAGAGATGCTTAGAGCCCTGAAAACTCCTTGTAAAATCTGATACCCCCCAAAGCGTGTCTGAGTCTTCACAGTGGCATGGCAGAGCCAGCCCTGTGCCACGGTGCTGGGAGCCACAGCAAATCACTGCGGCTTCCCTGAAACCTCCAGCCCAGTGGTTTACCTGGGATGCGCCGTACTAATGCTGCCTCTCTCCAGGGCTTGTTTGGACTGGAACCGCAGAGGAGTCCCGGAGGCATGAGGCCAATCCCTCAGCTCCTGCCACTGCAGTTCAGTGCTCCCAGGCACGGCTTCAGCGTTGAGCTCCTCAGGGTCTGCTTTCATTTCTTCCCCTGGGCCTAGCAGCGTGCAGGAGGGTGATGCCAGGCGGAGGAGGGATGGACGGCAGCGGCAACCAGGGAAACCTCCGCTCCAGGCTTGCTGTGGGTGTTGCCAGGCTCCAGCAAGGGCTGTCCTCGAGGCTGCGCAGGGACAAGACATGGACAGCTCCACCTCCAGCTCATCCTCCATTTCTGACCAGAGAGCAAGGGATAGAGTCTTTTAAGCTTAAGTTCAAGGAGGGCCAGCTCTGGAGGGGCCAGGTATCCCCTGTACCCTCCCTTAAAGAGAACCCAGCTGGTTTGGGCGAGCTGGAGGAGTGGTGGTGGCTGCCTCCTCTGTGGCTCCTGCCCCGGGTTAGGAAACACCTTGAGCCCTGGTTCTGTTGAGAGTTTGGGAGGGACAAACAGGAGCCCGACAGGCGTCAGGGCTGTGGGCCACCAGCTCTGCTCACCCACCCCTCTTCCAGCCAAGCTCCTGCTGTAGGAGGGTCTTAGGACTCCCCAATCTCCTCCCCAGCTCTGCTTTTGCCTCGCTGCATCGGTTCAGTGAGTTCATGGTCCCTCCTCCTCCATGCCTCAGTTTCCCCCGCGACAACCCTGAGCTTCAGTGGGTGCTGAGGCACCTGCAATGGCTCTAGGGGACCGTGGAGCTGCACCAGGCCCTGGCAGGACCTGCTGTGGGTGGTGGTGGGTCTCATCTGCAGCTCCAAACCCCGACATTCTGCTCCGAGCCCTGCTCCAGGCACAGCCCAGCTTCCACAGCGCCACGTGCCATAAGCAGGAGCTGCCTACGAACCATGAGGTGCCAACACCAAAAAGGATGGGGTTTGCTGAACAGAGCTAGGCTAAACCCCTAATTAAATGGCTGTTAATTGGGGCAAGGGAGTATATGGACAGCAGAACCCCTGCGGGGCCGTCTGGCTGCCCTGCTCCCTGTGAGCTATTCAGGAGAGTCCGTTGCAGAGCCCTGATGCCTGTTCTTTCTCTTGCTTCTCTTTCTCTCCCTCTTTGGGGTTTGTCTGTTTTAACTGTTTCCTTCTCTGCGTTGACTCTTCATGTTTAATTCCCACCATGTGGCGCCACCTCCGTTACGTTCGGTGACTCCTCAATTCCTGTTTCTTTTCTCTTCCCCTCTGTTATAATTTGTGGTGTATTTTTTGTGTTCTTGGGGCTACAAAACTTCCCGACTCTCACCCTGGATTTTAATTGCTGATTTACATGCATATATATATTGCTTTGTGTTTTGTTTCCTGCATTACCTTTCATAATAATTTTGTGGTTCTGTGCTTAATGTCTTTTGGTTTAATTACGGCTTTTTATCCATATAAACTTCCTTCATGCTTATGTTTGGTTTTATGCTGCTTTTTTTTTGTCCCTTCCCACCTCTCCCAATTGCACCCGGTCCCTGCGTGACGGTGTCCCCCCCGTCCCCCTTCCTTCCTTCTCTCTCTTGCTTTTGCTTGTCCCACCCATGAAAAACCCTGCAGGATTTTACGGGCTAGATGAATCTGACCTCGACAAGGTCTTCCACCTGCCCACCACCACCTTCATCGGTGGAAGTGAATCGGCTCTTCCGCTCCGGGAAATCATCCGTCGGCTGGAGGTGAGGAGGGCGGGGGGGGCTGCACGGGACCTCTTTGCACCAGGGGCAGAGCAGTTGCTTTTTGAAGGTCCTGGGCCCTGCTGCTGCCCACAGCCTGCGCCAACCTGTACACTTCAAGCTTTTCAGGTTGGGAGCTGCCCCATAGCACTTGCCCCCCTTGCAGCAGCTGCCCCATGTTACCTGCTCATCTGTGGCCACCTCCAGCTTCATGCTGCATTGGGGCAACATGTTTGGTCTATCCAAGGTGTAGCAAACCCCAGGCAACTCAATACTGCATATGTTTTCCAGCTTAACACAGCAAACGGTGCTGGGAGAGCATAGGAGCAGCTGGAAGCAGGGATACCCCCCTTTGTGTCCTGCAGTAGTTCTGCTGCCCTGCATGGTGGCCCCTTGGAGGGTCTTGGGGTACGAGCAGCTCCACCCTGGTGCTGGGGCTTCCAGCTCTTGCAGCCAGTTCCCCTTTCTTGCCAAATTCCATAGCATGCTCTGACAGGTCTGCGAGCACAGACGGCTCCCAGACAAGCTGCAGGCTTGCTCACATGGTCTCTGCTGAGACAGGTTGACCTTGGGAGGAGAAAAGCTGCATCAACATCTTAGATAAGCTACAAGAACAGGCTCCTTATTTGTTGTGGGAGGTTGTTTCACTGATTCTCTTTCTGCCCTATGAATTGAGGTTCTGGACCTGCTCATAGCTGATGCCACTGAGAGGGAAAAATCTCACTTCTGATGTGGATGTAGAGGACTTGAGGGTCTGATCCTGGGCCCCTTGGGGAAAGAGAACTAAACATTTTGATGCTGGGTCATGTGCAAGGTCTGAACTGCCCACAGTATCCCAGGATGTCCCTGCAGCATCCCCTTTCCTGGGAAAACAGCTCAAACCAGGCTCCCCAAACAGGGCTGGTACAGTGCTGGCTGCTGGGCACAGCTTGAGGGTCCCCCCAGGCTGCACTCGCTGGCGTTGGGGCACCTCTTTGCGGATGCCAGGCAGAAGATTCATGTCTCCACTGGTGCAGGAGGCTTTTCATCTTGCTGAAAGGTTAAAGAGGGGAATGAAGGAGTCCCTGGCCCCGTGGCCTGATACAATGCCCCACGTGCCTGTTTTTGGGGGGGTGAGTTGGCACTAAAACTCTGGCTGCTCTCTGATGGCCCTTCTCCTCCTGTGGCACAGATGGCCTACTGCCAGCACATCGGCGTGGAGTTCATGTTCATCAACGACCTGGAGCAGTGCCAGTGGATCCGGCGGAAGTTTGAGACTCCGGGCATCATGCAGTTCACCAACGAAGAGAAGCGCACGCTGCTGGCCAGGCTGGTCCGCTCTACCAGGTACCCCGGGGGGGGCTTCACCTTCTCTTCAGCTTCCCTTGCTCCCAGCCGGAGCGATGTGGTCACCGCCTGAGTCACATCTTGGCGTCATCTGTCACGGTTGGCTCGCTCAGCAGGATGATGCAAGTGAGCTGCTGGGGCTGGCAGGCTGGCCCTGGAAGAAAAGGTCTAAAAATAAGCTTTAAATGCAGCACAGGGTGGGGGAATGGGCAGCCGGGCTCTGTGGAAGGACACAGGGAAGGCTGTTGGGCTGCTTAAGCATCACTTGGTGCTGTGGCTCCCTTGGTGCAGTCCCTATCCCTCCTCTGGTTTCTGCCCTGTAGCCCTGGCACTGAACCCTCTCTCCCTTTGCCTCCAGGTTTGAGGAGTTCCTCCATCGGAAATGGTCTTCAGAGAAACGTTTTGGGCTGGAGGGCTGTGAAGTGCTGATCCCAGCCTTAAAGACTATTATCGATAAGTCCAGTGAGAAGGGAGTGGATTATGTTATCATGGGGATGCCCCACAGGTAACTTTGCCTTTCTCCATGGCTGTGCTTAGGGTACTGAGGAGGGGGCTGCTGCCGCGGTTTGGGACTGGGAGGCACACTGGTTTCTGCCTTTATTGAACTGGTCTTGCTCGTGGTGAACTTTAGCTGGAGAGCTCAGGCCTTCGCTGCTCTCTGCTCTGCAGTGTTTTCAGCTTCAGCTCCCCTGGAGGGGGATGGTGGCTCGAGCAGCAGCGCTGTGTTCGAGCAAGTGTTTGGTGGCTGGTCCAACCCTGAGCTGAGGGGTCTGCAGTCTCCTTCTTAGGACCTCCCTCCACGGGTGACCCTAGAACCGTGACACTGTGTGATGTGGGGGGTGACAGGTGACTGGTGGCACTTGCTGCCAGGCTGGGACTACTGGTTGCCAATAACAGTCTTGCTTTTGCAGGGGACGCCTCAATGTTCTTGCCAATGTGATCAGGAAAGAGCTGGAGCAGATCTTCTGCCAGTTTGATTCCAAGCTGGAAGCTGCTGATGAGGCGAGTCTCCTCTGCCCATAGTGGTTTGCTGTCGCCTGTCCCCGTGTGGTCCCCAGGGGCTATGACTGCAGAATGAGCTGGGTTGTCAGTGCCATCACTAGTCTGTCCTTTCCTGTCCTGGGGGTGACGTGTGCCCTGGCTGCTGCTGGTGTCCCAGTGGCTCTCCATGGGCATAAAGCAGTGCAACAAGATGAGGGGAAGGCGGCCAGGAGCAGAGGTTGGCTTGTACCCTTGGGCCCTAAAGTAGCACCAAAAGCCACGAGGCTCAAATCGCCTGTGCTGCAGGGTCTGTGACTGCAATGCAGTCATATTGCAAAGCTTCCAGTATTGTAAGCTGGGATGATTTGGCTTTTGGAAAGCTGGCCTGAGCTGACTTTGTCCTGCTGTGCCCTTCAGGTGGGGTTTTGAGGTGAGAAAGCAGCAGCCTGGGGTGTCGAGGTGCCTTGACTGGGAATGGCAGCATAGTGTGAGTGGTGCCAGCGATGGCTGTACTGCCACAGTGTGGGCAGAGCTGGGGGGACTGTTACCTCTTTTCCAGTGTCTTCCGCAATGCTCTGCACCTTCAACCTTACCTAGAGATGGGCTTAATGCGTGTCTGAGGTTTGTTGGCTGTTTGGCACCAGGAACAAGCTTTGCTGGGTGCCAGGTCAGCTCCTGAAGTGAGCACCTGCTGCTTTCTGCCAGGGCCTGCAGGAAAGGCCCCTTTTTCCAGCCCCAGGGGTCAGCGCTGCTCTGCCTCAAGGTCTCCTTCTATGCCCCAAAAGCCACTTATGTTCCCGGGGGTGACTCTCCTCTCCTGTCCATCAGGGCTCTGGTGATGTGAAGTACCACCTGGGAATGTACCACCGGCGGATTAACCGCGTCACTGACAGGAACATTACCCTTTCCTTGGTGGCAAATCCTTCTCACTTGGAAGCAGCTGATCCCGTTGTTCAAGGCAAGACTAAAGCAGAGCAGTTTTACTGTGGGGACACGGAAGGCAAGAAGGTGAGTGGTGCTGAAGCTCCCGCAGTGAAGTGCCTGGGCTGGATGGGGTTTGGTGGAAGGCAGGCTGGAGGGAAAGTGAAGAAACCCGGGTGGTTTTGGTTTGCTATGCCCCTTCCCCTGCCCTCACCCTGACTTTGCTCCCTCATCCTTCCCCACTGTCTTTGGGGATAACTTTGGTAAGGGCTCACCCATCCCGAGCTTCCATCGCCGCTTCCTTCGACGCTGAACAACCTGCTCAGCTCTGCTACGGGGAGCGGCAAACACCCAACCCCCTGGTTGGAAAACAGGGAAATGAGGGGTGCTTCCAAAAGCCAACCTGAGCATCACAGCCTGGGGGACCCTGCAACAGAAGCCTCAAGCCTTCCTGAGGCTGGGGAAGCTGGAGCTGGCAGCAGGAGGCAGCTCTCTGCACCCAGGGAATGGGCTGCAGGAGAGGGGGGTTTATTTGTGGTCTGATTCGTCACAGACCTGTCTCCAACACCAAGAAGTGGAGGGGTGAGATCAAAAGAGCTTCCCTTCCTCCTACATCCCAAGGGCTGGATATAAATATACAAGTTCTGTCCTCGTCTGGCAGGCAGTGTCCTCAGCCAGCCCCTGGGTACCAGAGCAAAAGTAATGTCACTGCAGCTGGAGCATGCTCCTGGCCCAGGTCCTGCCCAAAGGACCCCAAAGTGTGGGGAAAATGGACTTCTTTTTGTTTTCCCCCAGTTAAAGGCTTTGCTTTGAGGTGTGTGTTTGGGAATGGGACTTGCCTCCCAGCCACTGTGCATCGGGTGCTGTCCCCCGAGCGTG